TCATCATCTATCCTCACGATCTCCCGCAGTCGCTCTCTGTGTTGTCCTTGTCGTCGTCGATTTCCAACATGCCTTCAATCTGGAGCTACTTTCATCATATCTTATGATTCTGTTCGTTGATTGATTTTGTCACCCTTGTTTCCAGATATGTTTATTCTTTGTTCGTGTTGTCTAGTGTGATTTCAAGTTTTAGAGATTGGTGGTAGCATATTTGAAAAATTTTCAGACATTCCAACTCTTTCGTTTAATCTTTCTTACTTGCTATTATGATCATCATTACATCGTCCACAAAACTCATACCATGAATAAGTTTCTCATCAATTCCAGTTTGTGCACACCATCTGTACTCGTTGAACGCGCATACCATGTTGCAATGGGTGGGCTAGAGTCCTTCCCCATTGGTATCCCCATTACTTGGCATAATAATGTTCCTTATACTTTGAAGTTTGAAGTATGGGTGTTTCATGTCATAGTACAACAAATTCATTAGGCACTCGATTTTTAATGTTCTTCATCCGCAGGTTCCGTTTGCTTTTCCAAAGTTCATGTATTTTCCTCTCATTTTGTAACACAAGTGGTTTTTTCGTTTTTCTTTCGTCGTTTTCATCATCCATTGCATAACGTTTAAGATATGTGTGTGATCGAGATTCAAAAACATATCTTTGACGTCGTATATAGAGCAGATTATCGTCGTCAGATCCCCGTATGTTTATTTTGCTACTTGATTGCATTTCTTCAGTCTAAATAGTAGTTGGCTCGTTCCTTTTAGTGAGAAACCAACTTGCAATGCTTGACACATGAAGTTGATAGCTCTTGATAGTACCTTCGATGCTTTCCGAGATGACTCCTTATATGTCGACACAATTGGTCGGCGTCTGGTGACGTCCTTGTTTTTTAGAATTGTATACGCATTTTCGTATGATCCCTGTTCATCCCATTTTGCGATTTTCTTCAGCCCACATCCATGATACGTATTTTTGACCAATTGAGTGATCTCAAATTCCGTTTGTTGTATAATTTCGTAGTGATTCGATTCCATAAATAATTTTCGGGTCTTCTCGTACCAAATTTTACGGCATTCTTCAAAAGTTTCTCCATGATTTATGTCCAATGGTGATAGGATACATTGCGTCAATCTTCTTTTTACTTCCCATACTTCTGATACATGAAAAAAAATCTTCATATCATTCTTCTTTTCGATGCAAGTAGAGACATCTATTTTAATTTCTCTTTTCTTCCTTAGTGGTCGTGGTATACTTGCAATGGTAGTGATGATTGTCCTTTTAATTTCTTCCTTTTCAGTTCTTTCGTTCATATGGGGTACGTTTTTTGCATTCCACAAGAGCTGATTTTCTGTGATTTTACTTAATCTGCAAGCAGTGATTGTGTAATATTTCTCCGACTGTCTTTGATTTTTTAAACATCACACACATCCGAGCTGTCAAATCGTTTACCAAATTGTTATTACTTACGTTTTCCAAGATAGACTTGGTTGTTGTGTTTCTCACTTGCTTCAGATTAAAACATGCATCAAATGAAATCTTAAATATCAGCCTTCTCTTGATATTGAATGCAAACTTCTTCTTTGAAATTCGTGTGAAGATGCCTTTAATTGTTCGTCTTTGTTTCTTTCCGGTAATCGATCCCACCTTTGACAGAAGAATCAGTATATCATCTGACGGTAATTTATACAGTTCCCTCCGTCTCCATGGTGCCCTCAAACAGTTAATCAGAATATTTTTGTGTTTGTTTGTTTTCGGTCTCGTATGCACCAGTTGGATCACATAGAAGATACATTCATTTTCGATCCGTTTTCTGCATTTTTTTAAATGAAACTTTGTGTTGTCAATTTTCACAATTGTTGTTACAAATGTTCGTTTAATTACTTTCCATTTTTCATTCCATAGTTTTCAAGTTGTGAAGTAAATCATTGCTTTCGGTTGAAGTATGAATGTTAACTTCGTAGTGTAACCCGGTCGAACCGATTTAAACAAAACAGGTATATTCTGATTCACCTCATTGTTTTCATTATTTTTCCTCTTTCTCCTTCTTCGTCCTCGGTTTTTCCGAGTCCGTCTGTCTTTTCCCCTTGTATTCAATAATGGATTCAGTCTCGTAATCAGTGTTGTTTTCATCCCTATCACCTCTGATCTCACTCCCGCCCAAATGGGTACGAGAACATATTTTTCCCAACCAAATTTGTGCAGCCAACTGTATAGTTTCCGCTGTGCTCCTCTATTTGGATTCTTGGCCAAGTTTATGTGTTCAATCCATCTCTTGTCGGGATGTCTTCCTGTCCTCCCCACGTACATATGTCTACACCAAGGTGAAACTCCCTGTACTAACTAGTTGCTCAATTTCTGTTGATAGCCTGCGTATCTGCTCCCACTTCTGTATCGTGGTGAGGTCGTCTGATGTTGAGGTGTCTTCTACCTTCCCAACATTTTTTCGACGTTCGAAGATGTGTCGGATGAGTCATACTCATCACTCCCGCTTGATCTTGTACTAAGGCTTTCGTAATCATCCTCACTTGTATCGCCACCAGTTGTATTGGACACTCTGATGTTATCTGGATCTGGCATGATATGTGTTTCAAGATCAGAATCCCGGTTGAAGTCCCGCCCCTTGTAGGCGATCAATCCAGGAACTTGCCTCAACGCAGAGATCGCTTGCGGCTTGTCCTTGTACCTGATGTCATGCATCTTGCATAAGACCTTCATGTCAGTGTAGTGAAGACGAAGAAGCTGCATGTCCGTCATCGGTTCGACCCCGAAATTAATGCTCCGTTTTGCCTTTGACTTCGCTGCCGACACGTTGCGATTAATCTTCGTTCGTCCTCTCTTGGGGTGTGGAGGGATTACGCGTCCCAATCTGCTTTTGTTTGGTGCGCTTCTGCTTGGCATGCTTCGGCTCGGAATGCTGCGGCTACCATGTACTGAAGTTGGTAGTCCAACCATTGTCCCCATATATCCGTTTGGATGAACCGAAGACGACACGATCGGAGTGCAGGTACGAGTCGGTTCATTGATTCATCTCTGTCGGCTTCAGTGCTTCATCAATGCTGGACTTTAGCGCGTCCAGAGATAGCTCAGGCTTCGTTGCGGTGTCTTCCTTGTTCGGAGGAGTTGGCTGCTTTTCACTCGTCTTTTGTGTGAGTTGCTCCATTGTCTTGAGAACTTTGTCCATCTCCCGGCGGAGCTTAAAGATTTCTTCCTTAAGATCCGTCGTAAACCACGCTCGATTTCCAGGTGGGGGGAAATCATTCCGTCTTTGCTCCCACAATGGTCTCGAGAACTAGCTTGGAGATCCTGACTCCGTCCTTCTTCTCCGTGACGATGGTGATCTTGACTTATGTCTTCTATCTCTCGGAGTTTTCGATCTCCCCCTTCTTGAGCGCTTCCTCCCTTGAGATCCGGAAGATGATGATGAGTGTTTGCGCCGCCTCCTGTCTGACGATGATCGCGAACGCGACATCTTCCTTGAAGCTTGGGAACGTCAGGTAGGTAGTCTTCGTACTTGAAATCGATACAAAACCCCATTGTTCTTCTTCAGTACACACCAGATAAGTAA